GATGTGAGTGGAAATTATGATAATAATACTTATTATGTTCCTGGTGTGTTGGGAATGATTACCTGTGAGAGCGATTTTTCTTTGGCAACTTCTAAATTATGTAACACCCTTAGATGCATCTAGCATCTTTGTTGCTTAGCTTCTGGCTTATTTTAAAGTTGCACAGCCTTACCCTGTCCTTTAATAGGTAAAATTTGACTGTTTCATGAGGTGCACCTCTTCTGCTTTGTTTCATAGATATTCTGCTGGGATGGGTTTTTAAGAGGGATTCTTTACTTGGTTTTTAATAAATGCTTTACTTATTTTCGGGACACGGGTGGCACTGGGGGTTAAACCACAGAGCCTAGAACTTCCTGATCAGAAGGTTCGCGGTTTGAATCCCAGTGACGGGGTGAGCTCCCGTTTCTCGGTCCCTGCTCCTGCCAATCAAGCAGTTTGAAAGTATGTCAAAGTGCAAGTAGATAAATAGGTACTGCTCTGGTGGGAAGGTAAACGGTGTTTCCATGTGCTGCTCTGGTTCGCCAGAAGCTTAGTCATGCTGGCCACATGGCCCGGAAGCTGTACCCCAGCTCCCTCCGCCAATAAAGCGAGGTGAGCGCCGCAATCCCAGAGTCAGCCACGACTGGACCTAATGGTCAGGGGTCCCTTTACCTTTACCTTTTTACTTATTTTAAATTATATTACTACATTATTCTCTTATTTCCTGACCACAATATCTACTAATCTATTCAGTAACAACTTTTCTATTCTTTAGTGGTCTGTCTTCCCTTGCTGTCTATAACTGAAGTCCCAGTAATGTTAACTCAATCTCAAGTGCGACTTTTATATCTACAATGTTCTTTCACCAGTCAGTTTCCTGACCCCTGTGTACTATCACCATGACTGACCCAACAAGTCAGTCAAATGACCAATGAAAAGCCTAACACCATGTACCTGTTGGAGAGCCATTGAGTCTTTCAGCACTCCTTTAATCAAACAAGATCTTAGTAATCTTTGAGTTCAAGGACAGATAACATGGGGCTCAAACTCGGGAGGAAGATGTGAATTTTTTTGTCTATCTTGGAGATAAGCCAAGTCCAAAACTCTTTCAAGATATACAGATTCTCGAAGGCCTTTTAGAGATCACATATATTGGATGGATAATGCCCAAAATGATATTCAGATACACATGTTCCCCAAGGTGGGTAAGGGAGCATGTTTTTAGAAGGTTTAAAAATGTTTTGACTATGTTTCTATTTTATTTGAACTTGTATGGCTTCACTGTTTGATGTTTGCCACCTTCGTCTGCCATGGGAGAAGTGTTGAGATACAAATCTAATAAAATAGATGATAGATAGATGATAGATAGATAGATAGATAGATAGATAGATAGATAGATGTAGATAGATAGATGATAGATAGATAAATGCTTACCGTCAAAGAGGCTTAATTTCTTCTTCTTGGAAATACTATGTGCACATTCTCATTGAATGTGAAAAAAGCATTTGTCCTCACAAGTTGTTCATTTTACCACTATTATTTATAATATTCATATACACATATACCTTACCTGTGGAATTTTGTAGATATCCAATACAGTGGCCATATAGAGAGAAATATCTGAATCCAGTCCTCCAATGACTGCTGCCAAATGATTCTGGATGTCACATAAATAGTTAGGGACAAATATCTCCAATGTGGATGTAAGAAGCATAGTAGCATGGTAAGTCCTCTGCGCACTGAAATAGCTGTCATAGATGCAGACACCCAAGGTGACATTTGATAATAACTGAGGATTTTCATTTATCTCCAGTACAGCAAATACCAAGGCCAGTATGTGCTGGTAATTTTTAGGCACCATACTAGGACAAGATTAAAAACTACAATGAGTCATATAGTCTTCCCTTAATAAATTATTGAAATTTTGTTCTGCATCAGATTCATCACTAATATTCATATGCTTTTTCAGGTGGGAAAAAATAAACAATCAGCAATATGAGTATATACAGTATCTTCAAAATGTTAGTATTGATAAGGTATGTTACTATGATTCAAAGCACACTCACATTTATATTTACTCTTTCTATTGATGTTGTAACCCTGCAGTATAGGCATTCATAAGGATAGCATGATAGCCACCTCAAAGTCATATAAATATTCCTTCAAAAATACATTCTTGGAAGGAAAAAAATAGAAGAAGAAATCAGTCTATTTTAATATGCATATGGGAAACACTGAGATAGTTATGGTAACTCTCATGATTGGAAAGAGTCAGGAAATGTAAGTAAAATGAAACATAGAAACACTGCTGTTTTTGAAGCCAAATAACAGAAATATCAGAAGGAATGGAAAACACAACAAAAGTGCAAGTGGACACAGTATGTATATGATGAAAGAAAGGAACCATGGGATAGAGAGGGATGAGATGCAGGTCTATGTAAAGAAAGAAGAGCTAAAATTCTCCCTACTCTCTCTCTCTCTTTTTCCACCTTCACTTCAAAAGAAATGTAAGAAATGATAGAATCTCCCACCATCAAATTTTAACAATAGTAGTAACAGTAGTAGTCATATTTGAAGAGGCATATTTGGACCAATCCTGTTACAATGGTGGGTGGACTATGTTACCAGTACATCTTCTTTCAGGTGGGCAAAATGAATAGAGCTGATTCAATCTGGGAAATGCTAACTCCTTTCCTTCAATGTGGAGGCTCTGAACTCTCTTGGGGGTAGACAATTTTTTGCTTTGCCACGTGGAATTTGCTTCTTTCTGCAGCTTTCCGTTAAATGCATTAGCTTTTTCTACAGTCCAAGAAAACATTTTTTTATGCGACTGCAGCTTCTAAGACTGAGACCAAGTAAGAAAACAAAACAAAACAAGTTAAAAAGGATTAGCTCCTTACACAAGATCTTCAAATGAAGGTGCTGGGGGTTCTGTTGTGAAGGCTACTGAGTTAACAATGATGAAACTATGAGAAACAATCCCACCAATTATGATGTTGCCTGACTGATGATATTTTTGATCTGCATCCAGATTCTCCTATATTTCCCTCTGCATCATTATCATGATATTTTCTGTGGTTACGGTGACTTGACTTGGATCCTCAGTCAGGCTGATGGTATCCTTGAATTTGTCCAAGATGTGAAGTATAAGTAAAGTGATATGAGTGGTGTATGCATGCTTGTTCCTAGTCCCTCATCATACCTCTGTTTGCTAGAGGGCATTTTTGTGCCATCCTCAGTTTGTGTTATTAGCTCTCTAAGGGGAAACTGTAATGGTGCAGTGGATTTTAGAAATAAATTATAGCCTTTATACATAAAGGGGAGTGTGATATGAACTCAAATGTGGGAATTACTTGTGGAATTGCAAAAGGAAACATGTTTATCACATCTGAATAGAAGTTTTCTTTTCCACTTATCAGACTAGGAATATGCATTTGAGCTTTTAAATGCCTGGCTGGAGAAGATCTTTACATCACATTTTAAGGCAAATTTGCAAAATTTGCACTTTCCAAAACAATGCACAAATTAAAACATAGCCACCATTTTAAATTCACATTTCACATTTCTCCAGATATATATATATATACTTAAATGTATATATACTTAAAGTAACATACACAAACTGTATATTGCAAATTCCAAATCTTTATTACAGTCCTAGACCAGCATAAGGTAAAATCACTTCCATACATAAATAAAACATGCTAGTTAGACAATAATCTGTAAACAAACCATAAACGTCCATAAAAATGACAAAAGTAGTTTGTTTCCCAAATTGGTTTATCTTAAACAATAACAAACACAGTAAATAAAGAGTTCACTTGTACTCGTAATATATCAGTGGTTCAGAGTTCATTTCTTCTCTTTCCAAAATAGATTTTATCTTGAACAATTACAAGTGAACTCTTTATTTACTGCACTATTACTGGTGCTATTCTCTTGTTTCAGTTGCAGTAGTCATTGTATCATCACCCTGTCTATTGTTTTATAGACAAGCAAAAAGGTAACTGAAGAAGAAGAGGGTACACATACTCATTCTCTCAATTACAGTATACTAGCAGTGTAACCATGCACATACAGGCACAGGTATTCCTGGATGAAAATATTTAGATTTATTTCAAACTGCCTATAGTTCAGTTTTAGAACTGTAGATGCTTTGGCTATATCTGGTGGTGAAACTTAGCTAGGGAAAAGGAAGGGGAAATACACCACTATTGACTGATGGCTGCATCTTGCTACGTTGATTTCAGATTAAGAGGTAACCAAAAAGCATGCAAGCTCTGCCAGATATTGGAATTTAGTTTAATGGCTCAATAAGCAACTATTACAATATAAACTACAGCCAAATGGGTTGTCCAAGAAACTTCCTTGCTCGTGAAGATTTGGGGATCCTATGAATTGTATTATTCATCTTTGTAGTTGTGACAATGAGCACAAAAGGCAAGCAAAGTTCACCTGGCTGTTACAAATTATGGATGACTGCTTAGAACAGGGGTGGTGCACCTCACACCTGAGGGCTAAGGGTGATCCCTCCACATCTCTCTATTAAGGCTTTCCCTTGGCCACATTATATACCAGTGCTGCTTTACAAATTCCTTGGGTGGTTTTACCTGTCTGAAATGTTTCCTTGAAGTTTGACAGTGCTTCTTCATTCCTTGGATGGACAGAGAGGGACTGATACATGCCTCTCAGAAGGTTGTCCAGAATGAAATATGACTCTCAGGAGGAAAGAGGTTCATCACTGTGCCTTCTATACAACTACTGGAACAAGCCATAACCCACAATAAAGGAAACAACAACACACACTAAAAAGAATAAAGGTCTTATGCATATCAAATATGCGTTCATGGGCATGGATGTACATATGACGAGATCTAGTAACAAACTGCTAGAGTGTGTTTGGAGAGCTGCAAAGAAAATTTACATACAACAAATGCTGCAAGGAAAAAATCTAGAGCTATTCTAGAACATACACATATTGTGCTGAGCACTGCAGATTACAGAAGAATTCATGGACACATTCAACAAATATTTTGTCTTATTAGCTGTTCCCTATTGTTCAGCTCTGGCCTCAACAAAATTAGATAACATTTTGGGGAAAAGATACAGCCCAGCAACCCAGCACTGGATGCTAAGATACAGAAAACCTCCACAGCCACCATGTATTTTCCTTTGGTGCTCATATAAGAAGGAATGAAGGATAACCAAACACTGCAGAAGACCAACATGCTAAAAGTAATGAACTTGGCTTCATTGAAACTGTTAGGTAACTTCCTGGCAAAGAAAGCTACTGTGAAACTGACCATGGCCAGGAAGCCCATGTAGCCAATGACTGAGTAGAACATTACCACAGACCCCTCATTGCATTCTAGTATGATTTCTTCTGTCATTGAGTGCATGTCAACATCTGGGAATGGGGGATAAGTTGCCAGCCACATAGTACAGATGCCTGCTTGAATAAAGGAGCAGAAAAAGACAACAGAATAGGCCAGTCCTTTTCCCACCCATTTTCTCATTATTGATCCTGGTCTGGTGGCCATAAAAGCCAGAACCACGGTGATAGTCTTTGCCAACACTGAAGAAACAGCCACTGAGAAGATGATGCCAAAAGCAGTTTGCCGAAGGAGACATGTCACCTTCTGAGGTTCACCAATGAATAGCAAGGCAGAAAGAAAGCAGAGCAGGAGGGAGAGGAGGAGAGTGTAGGTCAAGTCCCGGTTGTTGGCTTTGACAATGGGAGTGTCATGGTGCTTTATAAAGATTCCTAGTACGAGAGCTGTGATAATTGAAGAGAAGAGAGAAAAAGAGGCTAAACTGACCCCCAATAGTTCTTCATAAGACAAGAAATTTATTTCCTTGGGGATACATGCATCCTGGTTTTTGTTTGGATAATGTTCACCTGGGCACTTAAAGCAGTCACCCATGTCTGAAAAAGAAATGAGTCTCTGTCAATCTTATATTCATCCCATAAACATATCTATATCTGTTCCTCTCAGAGGTATTAAATGTACATCACTCTTCAAGTAATGATTTCTCTGTGATAGTTGCATACATCTGGAACAAAGCACCAAATATTGTTCATGACTAAGGACAGTGATCTACTTAGCCAGCTCCATAGTCATGGTGCCTACATTTTAGATTTTACTCATAGTTTAATGCTGATTTTAAGCGGGGTGTTATGTATTTGTCTATATACCCAAAGGAAGACTCGGGACACAGAATTATCTGAGATTATATATCTAAAAACCAAATTAAAGCTAGCAAAATCAAAATATAGTTTGAACGGAAAAGTTTCCTAAGACAGAAGGAAACATGTCACTTCCTACTCCTGGGTATGTTTACAGGAGACGCCTGTCACCTTGGAGCAAAAGATTGGAAAGAAAACTCTAATAACCTTTGGTAGGTGACCCGAGAAGGACACACTGGCCCCATCAAGTAAGCATTCACCCCAGTGTGCATGCCAGCCTAAAGGGAACACCCAATGACCCCAATCAAGGCAGAATAAAGTGACTCAAGAGTGTCATTAACCCAATACTTCCTCAGTTATTTATCCCATGTCTCTTGACTTGTATTTTCTGTCTGGACTAACAGACAATTAAACTAAACTAAACTAAACAGTATGAAGTATGCAAAATAGAGAAATATCAAGGTGAATTATGGGCTTACTCCCAAATTCCTATTCAGCTCCAAAATGACCACCTAACCCAAGCCTACATTGCATTGGGAAGGAGCAGGGGGTGGGGCTCTCCAAAGAGAAGTCTGCAGCATTCAGGGAGGATCAAAGCTTAAAAGCCTGCTCCCCCTCTCTATGATTGCTCCACACATTAAGGTGGGCCACCCACAATTCCTCTCCAGGAAGAGACCACTTAAATCTCCTTTCCTGGGGGAAATGGAGTGTGGCAAATTTGCCCCCACTCAAGTGTAGAAGTGGCATTCTGTTGTAAGTTGTTTCAAGTTACTTTGTGTAAACAAACAAACTAGATTATGATGTTATCATGTTCAAGAAAAACAGCAGAAGAAAGTATGGTTTTTTCCAGACCCAAGGGTGATATTTTCTGGTTCACTTTTAGTAGGAGACCAACATGAAGCTGCCCCGGCTTCTTATGTCAATCTGTGATTTCCTGCTTCCTCCACCACCACATCTACAGGGCCTCTGCCAAGGCCTAGAAGCATGCTGTGGCCACCGACATGCTTCAGGAACCATGCCACACTTCCACTGTGGCACAGGCTTCCAGAAGTATGCCAGTGGTTTTGCCGGGCCTCGCGGCAGCACCAACCCTAACAAAATCTTGTGGTGGCAGCAGGTCTCACCAGACCTTATTGCACATATATTTAAATAACATATTGATTCATACCTTTTCATTCAAACATTTTTTTAAAAAAAGTAGAATGAGTTTATGACTATTCTTCTAAGTGTTTTCTTTGGGGGGGGAGATTTAGTTAAATTTGTCATACCCTTAATTATCTTAGGTTATCCACTGTTATTTTAGTTTATTGTGAGTTTATTAATATTTTAACTGATTTCTAGAGGTGTGTATTGACATATTTCATTATATTCTACATGGCATATGGTGAAGTGCAACATAGAAAATCTATCTATCTCTATATAAAGTGGTCTTTACAAACCTATCCCTCTAGACTGCATTCATTTTATTAATAAACCTATACAATATAAGCCTTACCCTCCTCATGTGAAATCTTTCCTTCTGGACATGAGATGCAATCATAGCAGCAAAATGGCTTCCCTTCCTTCACTTTCTTGCTAGAACCTGGACGGCATCTTTCCACACATTCAGAAATAGGTTGTGTCTAATTCATAAAACAGATAGGACAAAAACCAATAATCTTTCCTTTGGTGACCTTTAAAGCTTCGAGGTGGGCTTTTCATTTTCAGATTTATCTTTAACAAGCAGAATGGCTGCTAGTAATGCATGGTTCCATCATATGCTAACATGCTTTTGAAGTATTGGGACCATGTTATGTGACTCCAGTCCCACAAATGCATGCCCAATTATCACTATCAAACTGGAAAATTAGGATTAGCATTTGGAATTCATCTTGTTCTACCTATCTCTGTCCAGTCTTTCAACCATTACCACTAGTGGTGTCCTTCTACACCAATGGACTGGAATATGCTGGAAATATGCTGGAAAGTAGTAAAAAGTTGTAAAAAGTACCAGGAATGTGGGTGTAGAGGAGATTTCATGTATATTAGAGGAATATATATATATATTGGTTATAATGCCATCTAGTGCTTAATGTATCAGTTCAGAGTTAAATGAGTCTTGCTTCATGTTTGGATTGTTGAATATTACCTGATAGAATTGTTAAGATAAATAATGAAAATATGAGTTGAAATCGGTTTAATTCTAACATATGCTGGATCAGGCTAATGGCCCATCTACTCTAGCATCTGTTCTCACAATGACCTGTAGGAAACCTGCAAGGGGATCTGAGAACAGGAACACTTTTTGCTCCACCCCATACTATTCAGATGCCTCAGACTGTGGAGGCAGAACATAGTCATCATAACTAATAGCCATTCTTAGCCTGAACCTCCAAGAATTTGTCCAATCCACTTTGAAACCATCCAAGTTGGTGGCCATCCTGTGGGAATAAGTTCCATAGTCTAAGTATGCACTGTGTGAATTACTTTCTTTTATCTGTCTTCAGTTTCATCCACAGGTTCTAGTGTTATGTGAGAGGCGGAAAAACTGCTCTGGGACACGGTTGGCACTGTGGGTTAAACCACAGAGCCTAGGACTTGCCGATCAGAAGGTTGGCGGTTCAAATCCCCACGGCGGGGCGAGCTCCCGTTGCTCCATCCCTGCTCCTGCCAACCTAGCAGTTCGAAAGCACGTCAAAGTGCAAGTAGATAAATAGGTACTGCTCTGGCTGGAAGGTAAACGGCGTTTCCGTGCACTGCTCTGGTTCACCAGAAGCAGTTTAGTCATGCTGGCCACATGACCCGGAAAAACTGTCTACGGACAAACGCCAGCTCCCTTGGCCAATTAAAGCGAGATGAGCGCCCCAACCCCAGAGTCGTCCGCAACTGGACCTAATGGTCAGGGGTCCCTTTACATTTATCCATTTTCTCTATGCCAAGCATAATGTTATGAAGTATATAAAATTTTACTAATTTATATAAAGTATCTTCATTTGAGCAATACCTCAGGAAATTAATTTTGTGTATCATTACTGACAGCCAGTACTTCAAGGAACAAGTAGTAGCTGGTAATTGCTATTAACTGGATCCTACCTGGTTAAACCAGTTGTCCCATGTGATGGCATTCTCATTGATGGTTAATACTTGTTCTGAAGAGGCCCTAGGATCAACCTTTCCAATCTTTACTTTAGATATATTTGAACCACATAAATAGTTGATGATATCAAATCCAGCTATTAACTTCCCATCTTGGTCAAAGGAAATCTTCTGTCCAGCACTGTTGTTAAATGAGATATGTCTCAGAAAGTGATGGAGCTAGATTGAAAATATAAAGGTTTAGATGATGATGCAGGTGGGTCATGAAATTGCATTTGTCTCATAATTCCGGCATTTGTTAATTTGTTTTGCAAAGTTATTGAGCTTTTTTAGAAACCCATTCATGCCCCCTCCAGAGTGAGTGACACAGGTTCCAGACCCTACTCACCACATGTTTAAGTCTCTACCTTTCCCACGCATCATCAACATGACCTATCAACATAAATATCCACTATGCACCACTAACTGTGGCAGCTTGGCATGGCAGTATGGAATGGGGGGGGGGGATGCCTCTGTAAGCCAATCACAGAAAAGGACAAAAAATTATTCTCCCCCCCCAAATAAGGCAACCAGTTAAACTCACACTGGGAGGGCAGGTTGGATCCTGTGCTCAGGAAGAAAGAGGACAAAAAGGCAGAAAGCATCACCTTAAATACCTCTGCCCCCCCTCCCCTTGCTGAAATTTTCTAGTATCAGAAACTGGAGTGGCTGCATGCCAGTCTTTCTGTCCCCGCACAAAAGCAATCCTGCCTGGACCACTTTTGCAGCCAGATGCAGGAGCAAACTTTCCTAAGATTATAAAAGACGTAGCTTCAAAATGTGGATTTCTGTACTGGTTACAAAGATTTTAGGGTTCAGCACATACACAACGAATAAAAAGTAGAGATAGCTTGATGGTTGAATTAAATATGATGGTTCTAGCTTTCAGAAAGACTAAGGAAGATATAACCATAAGTACTGAAAGAGTATAGGGAGACAGCTTACTTCTCAAATTAGTTTAACTACACCCCATGAGGATGTTTAGCTAACTACCTTCCAATATGGTTGATTCTGAAGCTTCAGATCCCCTTCATCCAGCATTGCTATGTTTTTCAGTCTTGAAGAAGACATGGCATGTAATGCATGAGCTACAGCATAAACAGCATTGTAGACACTGTAGCTATGGCCAGTCATGCTCATTTCAAAATAGATGGACGGAAGGTCCGCCAGCTTCTCCTCTCCTGTGCAAATATTCTCAGGAACCTCACCCACTGTTGTATTTGGAAATGCACAATCAAAAGCTTGTTGCCAGAAGTCCCTGATGAAACCATCTCTAGAAGTGCTGAAAGGGTTTCTGCCCTCAGTGAACTGGTGAAATCCTGGCACATCATTGTACTGATATGAGAAGGCTATTGCACCATTGAAAGTTTCTATATCCCAATTCCTTTGATAGGAGAATGAATTGAGCTCTATCTGGGCTGTTGTTATCCACACTTTGCCTTTGGGTTTCTTTGCCATGTGGTCTACACCTGACAGAAATGACAACCATCTAAAAAATGGCAAGGAATAAGATTCCCCACAAGCCACAATTGCGTTGGCTTTGCTGTTTCTTATTTTATCATTTATTTCTTTTCCACGATCCACCATGCTGTTAACCTCTGGGATAAAAGTTGGAATGGGGATTCTTTCTATGAAGGCAAGACAGACACCTTTCTGGGGAAACGTTGGAAGCACAGTTTGCACAAATCTTTCTCCATTGTCAGTATCCATAACAACGGTCCCAATCCACGTCCACCTGAAGTGCAGAAGCAGATGGAGAATCCCATCATACTGAAGGTCTTCCTTAGGGACCATCTGGTAGAAGAAAAGGCCTGGGGTTTTATAGTTTGTCTCCAGAGCAGGGCTGTATGTTAGCTAAGGATACATGTAAAGATGAGGTTGAAGATAAAAAAATCACTTTTGGTGATTTAAACTCCCATTCATTACCCATTAGTGCTAGAGAAATTGGCACTATTGGCACATGTCATTTCTACTCTGACAGCCATTTTAATTGCAAAGTTAGTGAACTGTATGAAGGTGTCTCAAATTTAAAGTTGTTTTATGATCTGTCTGCAAGTGATGCATTTTTAGAATAATTATCAGAGTTTTACTAAGTGAAATTAAGAAGGATGAGATATAAATATTTTTAATAAAGAGGCAATGCTATATAAGCTCCATGCAGGTTTTCTGCAAATATACAATAATCACTGCTCAATAAACAGATGGTTTGGAAGCTTCCTAAATTACCTTTTTCCTAGGGCTATTTACAGAGTGGGGTGCATTATGATAATATGTAGTCCTGAAGAATCTCCTTGAGATTCATGAATCAATTCACAGTAAATATTCTGAGGGGAAAACAAAGTACAGTGGTGCCTCGCAAGGCGAAATTAATTCATTCCGCGAGTTTTGTCGTCTTGCGATTTTTTTCGTCTTGCGAAGCACGGTGTTGGGAAAGTTTTGGAAAAGCTTCAAAAATCACCAAAGTCTTTAAAAACCTCAAAAAAGGCTACCACACCACATTCTATGAGTTGCTCCTCAAAGTCAAGTCGCAACTGTATTAATGGTGTTAAGAAAAAGGAAACAAACTTGCAAGACGTTTCCATCTTGTGAAGCAAGCCCATAGAGAAAATCGTCTTGCGAAGCAGCTCAAAAAATAAAAAACCCTTTCGTCTAGCGAGTTTTTTCTCTTGCGAGGCATTCGTCTTGCGAGGTACCACTGTAATTAAGTACTTTGAACTAAAAGTCAATGAGAATGTGGCATTTATAGGTTATGAACGGGCCATACAGACTGTGTTTTCCTGCACACCAGAAGGGAGAATCAGGAGGCCAGTTTTGGTTATATTTATTAAATATAACCAAACATAATTAAGTGCAGTCAGGTTGAATCTTTGCAGACTGGTGAAAACACCAAACTCTGCAAAAGCTGACCCCAGCTGAACTCCATCAGTTTAATCGCATGGGATGAAGCAGTTTCCCATTTCTCATTAAATGGGATCCCTGGGAGTTTTGTGACTTGACTGGTGTACCCCACCGCTGTTGGTACATGTTACACAGGGGGCATCCAGAAGGCCAGACAGGGCACCATACCAAACAGCCTTCTAAGCTGGTTGGCAGTGAAAGGAGTGCTCATACCTAAGCATAGAAACATTGGATGCTTGATGATGATCAAATCCACTTACCAGTTTAGGAAATGAAACAGAGAAATTCATAAAGCTAATCTGTATCAGTAGAGGGTAACGTGGAGTAGGCAAAAAGAAGCAAACAAAAACCTAACATTGATTTAAAAATATCCCAACAATTCCAGTTTACACCCTGTATAGTCAAATGGCTAGTCCCATATTGCCAAACATTGGAAAGGTAGATGGCATGAAGATTTAAAAAATAAGAGGTTGTGGGTGGCACTGCCATTAAAATGAGGATGCACTTCCCAATCTGATTGACCCCTTGTACCATGTGAAATCCTGCTTAGTCACTTCTTCCAGAAGGAAGACTCCCATGATTTCCTTAATAAAAGAGAAAGAGAGTAGCAAACTTGCTCTCATCCAAAGAATAGGGCTAGCACCTAAAAATGATGAGGATGATGTTGATTTTAAATTTGTGTACCACCCTTCATCTGAAGCTCTAAGGGTGGTTCACTGCATAAAAATGTACAAAACATAAAATGCACAATAAAAATGAGAAGAAAAACAAAATAAAACAATAACACCCCTCTCCCACAGATGACACTAACATGTAAGATAAGATTCATTTGTTGCCTTCAAAAGCATCCATTGCTCCCAACTATGACTAAGGAGTTGTGAAGGAATTGTAAACTTGTCATACTCTTATTTGCATATCTTACCTGTGGAATCTTGTGCATATCCAAGAAAATGGCCATATTAGAAGAAATTTGGGAATCCAGACCACCAATTACTGCAGTTAGCTTATTACGTAGATCACAGTTGTAGTTTGGGGAAAATCTCTCCAAACTGTACATGAGCAGCATTGTAGAATGGTAGGTCCACATAGAATTGTAATAGTTGTCATAGATGTGGAAGCCCAAGGTAACATTGGGTAAGATCTGAGAGTTTTCATTAATCTCCTTCACTGCGAAGACCAAGGCCACAATATGCTGGTAATTCTTAGGCAATACTCTAGAATGAGAGTTACATTTTGTATCAGAAGGATATTCTACAATTTATCATCATCAGTATGCACATATAATCACCATATTAAAAAAAACACAGAACACATAATAAAACCAAAACCAAAGACAACCTAATAATCCCCCCTCCCACAAGACATTTTAAAAAGGCATCAGATGACAATCAGCCCAAGACTTGCTAACCACCAATCATTCTACTTCTAAGATAAATGAAGCCAATATTAAGTAAAAAAATTAAACCCTTACAAAAAATCTTCCATCAGTGGCTGTGGAGGTTCTATTGTGAAATCTGGTGAGAAGGAAATGAAGCCACCATGGGAAACAACAGCACCAATGAGGAGGTCTCCTGATTGATGATACTTGTGGAATGGAGGGTGTGGATACCAGACCCTGCATTTAACAGTGTGAGCCTTGCATGCTATATGAGGGAGCAGAATGAGCATCCATAACACCAAGAGAACCATTATCCCCAGCACAAGTTCAATTTTTCCATCTACATGCAGATTCTCCTGCTGAAGTCTATAAAACAGTCCCAACAGCCTGCAAGATTACAATGGCCTAATCTGAATGTTCAAACAGTCCTTAAGTCTGCAATTGCAAATAGAAAGACCTGAGGATCATTCTGATGAATAAATGCCTCATTTTAGTTGCTAGCCCTCCCTCTAAGTGCTAGAGGATATACTTATGGCATCCTTCATGGTATATATTGTTAATTTAATTAACAGAAACCACAACTAAGTTCCTTTTTTTGTTTTTGTTTCGGCAAGCAGCAGTTAATTATAATACTCATCATAATAATAAATGTAACTACAACTACACAGATGACATTTTGGCTTGTTCGTTGCTTTTTATTTTTGACATGCAGCAACTAATTGCACTGCTCATGATAATGAATGGCATCAAGAATTCAAAATTGGAAATTCCCTGAGAAATTGCACAAGAAAACATGTTTGCCACATCTGAAAAGGGTGTTTCCTCATGCACCTAGTTTGATAGGAAATTATAGAATGTAAATGTTTCTGGGGACTTACAGGAAGGATCAGACACCAGAAAAACAAGGCCTCAGTCTATAGCTGTCAACTTTCAGATTTGAAAATAAGGGATCAGCAGCCTCACCTGTCCTGGGGACAGTCTACAATATATCTAACAATCCAGGGTAGCAGCGGGAAGCAGCGGGAAATGGCACTGGAATAAGGGAATTTCCCGCAAAAAAGGGAAGGTTGACAGCTATGCCTCAGTCTGGAAAAAGAGGAATTTATTTATTTGTGTATTAAATGTATATACTACCCTACCTCCTAAAGGAACCCAAAAATTCAATCTTGTCTCCTTTAAAATGTGCTTTAGTAATTTTGCACTTAGTTTATAAATCAATAAAGCAAACACGACAGCATAGAAATAGCAGATCACATCAGGTGTGCCGACTTGAATGAAATATTGTGGGGGCCCAGGTAAGCCCTGCCCTGCAAAATTGATCACATGACACAGTACAGACACACCATTTGAATGGGAATGCCCATCAACTTTGTGGGGCACTGGTCCCTTAAATATTTATTGTGGGGGCTGAAGCCCCCATGGCCTCTAGGAGTTGGCAATAATAATAACAATAACAATAATAATAATAATAATAATAATAATAATAATAATAATAATATCTGGACAGCTTCCAACAAAAGATTAAAAATACATGTTGTATGGATCACATGTTGATGGATAGTAGACGTAAATAATATAAGTGACTACTGTATCTTATACTTCACAGAAGAACTACAAACAGGATATAAGCTGAAAAGAAGCTAAAATGGGGGTGCATTTAAAATATTAATATAACTCTACAAAAATCATACCATTCTTACATATTTTATATGTCTGCCAAGGCTGTTGTGAAGTAGTGCAACAGCTGTGCCCTGTTACTATAATAAATAAGTTTAAATTATTTAATATTAAACTACTAATATAAATAAATCTTCTAATGAATTCTAGGTTGTTGATGTGTGTGTCTGCTTTTATCAAATGCAGATATAAGAATAACAACATTCCAATATGTCTTCTTCATGCTTATATACAAATACCATTCGTTAAAAATGCATAGCTACAGATTTAAAGGCAATTATGCTCTCTGATTGTCACAATGTTGACTGTGCCATTTCAAAAAAAGAAGGGGGGGGATCCGTTTTGTTCTCCCTTATTTTTTAGCTACCAGAACTTTGACCTGACTCATAAATAAATATTCCCAACTGGAAATAGGCTAGAGATACAAATTAATCCCTATTGTTCATGCAATCAAATTATTATGGCACTGCTAAATATAAATATTTTGCTACTAATTAGTTCAACAATTTGCTTATTTATTGGTTTGCCAAGGACGCATCATTTTAGCTACTCTCTCAGAATAAAGCACCACGAGAACTAGTTTTCCCCAACGTGGATATAGATGAATCTGAAATAACCTATAACCTATGATAAATACATAGCCAAGACCTGCAAGATGCATTTAGAAGACAATGTGTTGAAAGGTAAAACAAAATTCATTTATTTAGCTGCCTTTCCTTTAAATATTTTAAAAAGACAAACTTTGAGTTGGATCCAGACTCAATTCTACAGCAAGATCCACCAGCATGAGTGGAGTTAGGATCCAGCAGATCTCTGATTGAGCTGGGAGGTTCCCGGAACACCCAGACTACACCAGCTTATCTCCCCATCCTTATCTCATCTGAGCTGGGATCCAGTCATCTGAGTTGAGCCTGGAGAATCTTAAATTGGCATAAGCTCTAAAACAGATGAGGGGGGAATAGAGGGAAGGGAGGCTTAGGTTGGATTTCAAACCCTTTCAGCTCAAGTCATGTGTCCTGGAGACCTGGTGTACATTAAGCCAACAAGATGGGGGGTATAACTCAAAACACATTTTAAAGGCGTCTTTCCCTCCTGTCATATTTAGGCTGGCTCAGCCAGAAGTAGCCTGCCCCTGAACAGAGTTTGGATCTGATGTACTTTTTGCCAGTTCAGTTTACACTGGGCTTGCTTCACACAAGCTTCCTGTGCATAGGGTTGTTCCATTAGTCATGCTAAGTAGAGCCATTGAAATCTTGCCTGCTTTGTTCACCTTCAAAGGTTAGCTCTTGCTCCCTGGGAAGGAATCACTGTGAGTGGATCCACAACATCAGGAGAGCAGCAGGTTCCCTGCACAATCAGGTCTAGTCTCCCTTTGTATGACAGAGCACCAGAGACTTGGTTTTAGAAATATAACAATTAGAACATGTGCAGAGGAGGGCAACTAAGAAGATCAAGGGTCTGGAAGCCAAGCCTTATGAGGAATGGTTGAGGGAGTTGGATATGTTTAACCTGGAAAAGAGGAGACAGAGAGGAAATATGATAGCCACCCTCATATATCTCAAAGGTTGCCACATGGAAGGTGGAGAAGCTCATTTTCTCCTGCTCCACAGAGTAGGACCAGAACCAATGGCTTCAAGTAACAAAAAAGGAGATTCCGACTAAATATAAGGAATAACTTTCTAATGGCAAGAGCTGTTTGATACAGGAACAGACTCTCTCAGAAAGTGGTAGACTTTCTTTCATTTGAGATTTTTAAGCAGAGGTTGGGTGACCATCTGTCATGGATGCTTTAGTTGAGATTCCTGCATTGTGAGGGGCTGGACTACATGGCCCTTGGGATACTATCCAGCTCTACAGTTCTATGAGTCTATGAATTTTGCCCAAAGGTTCTGGGAAAGTTTGAGGAATCAAAGATTACAAGCCTCTATATTAGGGGTAGCTATTTTCCCATCACCCTCTGCAAGGATGGTCAGTGGTCAGGATGATGGGAGTTGTGATCCAACAACAGCAGAAAGCACCATGTTGGCTACCCCTGCTCTACGTATTCAAATATTTAAATTTTGCAGAACGTACAAATGTGCAAAATTTATACTAGGAAATACTTCTTGGAAGCAGCCCAGCTGCCACTCACCCGAAGAACAATGGAGGTGAGTTTCCTACATAACTAAATGTGCAAATGGCTTATGAAGAGAGTTAACTGGAAAGAAGTTTTTGTATTGCTCAATATGATTGTACATTCCATTTGATTATAGGGAGTCAAATTATTCAGATTCTGTTAAACAGATACCCTGCTCTGCTTGTCTTCCTCTTCCTCATCAACCGTGTGTCTGTTTTTCAGGTGGAAATGCAAGCCCTAATCAAACAGTGATCACAGAATTTATTCTCCTGGGATTTGGGAACCTTCATGAGCTAAGAATGCCTACATTTGTAATATTTCTTGTGGTCTACATAGTAACATTAATGGGGAATATAATGATCACAGCGGTTGTGTTAACTGACCACAGCCTTCATACCCCCATGTACTTCTTCCTGGGAAACCTCTCTTTCTTGGAAATATGGTACACCACTAGTGTGGTTCCGAAGATGCTGAAAACATTACTGACTGCCCATGAGGCCATTTCCTTCTCAGCTTGTCTCCTCCAGTTTTACATCTTTGGCTCACTGGCAGTTACCGAGTGTTTTCTTCTAGCAGCAATGTCCTATGATCGCTATGTAGCCATATGCCAACCACTGCACTATGGAAACTTAATGAACTTCAGAGTGTGCGTTCAGCTAGCGATAGGGTCATGGGTTGGTGGGTTTATTTCCTTATTTGTCACCATGCCAATGGTTTCTGTGCTGCCTTTCTGTGCCTCTAATAAGATTGATCATTTCTTCTGTGATTTGGCACCTGTGGTTAAACTTGCCTGTGGAGACACACGACTGGTGAGAATCCTTTCTTTCCTTATTGCTTCTCTTGTATCCTTCTCTCCATTCCTTCTTACCATTCTGTCATACTGTAAAATCATCTCCACCATCCTCAAGATCCCATCTGCCAAAAGCAAACAAAAAGCCTTTTCCACCTGCTCCTCACATCTCATTGTGGTTACAGTGTTCTATGGGACACTGATGGTGGTGTATGGTGTACCTACAACAACTTGGTATCCCAACTTAAGCAAAGTCTTTTCTGTGCTCTATATAGTTGGGACACCAATGGTCAATCCTATTATATACAGCCTGAGGAACAAGGATGTCCAGAATGCATTGAGGAAACTGTTGACTAGAAATCCTGCACTGGCATGTGAATGAAAACTTTGACACACCCTTTGAATGTGGGGAACAACAAAGTATCTGCTAATTTGTATTTTAAAATGATGTCTACCATATTTGGCAGATATAGGTATGTAGGATATTTTCAACATACTTATATAAGCACCATATATTTCTTTACAAAATCTACTTTTTGAAAGGTTTAGTTATCTCATTTCACTTGTTTTACAGCCAATGGTAATCTATAATGCTCATAAGTGATGCTTATAGGCAGCCCTTCATGCAACTTGAGTGTGATGAGTTGTATGTGATGGAGTGGACCACCTAACCCAGCATTAGTTACTATAGCAAGGATTTGAAACTGAGGTTTCCTGACTTCATTTTGAAGACAGGTACTGGAAATCAAAACAAGGATCTTCACCCTACAAAGCACATGTATTTTACTCTCAGTCTAGAAGTGTCCACTTTTTATTAATCTGTGGGTTGAACAAGAATGCAAGAAGTATTATCAGAATGTTGGCTTTTTGAGGGAGAGAAGAGCATTGTGTGGAGAGGGATCTTTAAATATTTTTAAAATAAAAAAATTGTCATATACTATTTCTTGTGGTTTCTTTGTTGGTTTCCCTTCTCTTGGGCAATTTCAAACTCTACTCTCCCTTGCAGTGCTGTACAACAGCAGATTTGTCATCATCTTCCAGGGCATAAGATGCTCCTTGCTTTTGGAAGGTGAAGAAGCAGTAACTAAGCTTTCAAGTTTTACTGTTGTTTGTCATTAGTATATTATAGTGGAATTTGAAGATGTGGGATGATAATAAAATAGAGACAGTATTTTGTTTTCCTTTAATGGTATTTTCTCCTTTATATGTTTTACGAGTCTTGTACAACTTTGCGATCATAGATAAGCTCTTGGAATTCAACAGAGCTTACTCCCAAGTAAGTATTGTGCATAGATTGTAGTCATGACACATGGCTGATCAGGGATATAGATCCAGGTCTCCTCCAACAATTTCCAAGATGCTAACTACACCACACTACATTTTGGAGTCCCAGTTGGCTACAGGGTTTGTTATGATGAGCTCCTAAGTTCAAAATGCACCACTACACCATTGGTCCATTATTATCTAACCCAAGGGAATTAAAAAGTGACGGTTCTGAATATGTGACAAACACATTTTCTCTAGCATTTCCACTGGGAATACCTAGCACTTAATGAATAACTACTTTCCTGTTTGATTATTAAGAGGACTATCATTAAAGGTGCTGCTTCTCAAAAATCCTTGTGGATGTTCAGTGATAACTGTCAAAGAATACTATAAATCTAATCAGAATAGATTGGGTCTGGTATCCAAATGTCTGAGTTTGAGACGCCCAAATTGCAACCTCTCAGGCAACTAAATTACCATTCAAATTAGACAATTTTCATCTTGCAGATGCTGCTCATAGTATTGCCAGAAAAATAGTGGTTTCTGTGTAGAATGAAGATGGTATTGTATTAAGGATGGTTGTTTTAGTAATCTTTCTACTGGAACTATTTCCTTACATATGTGAGGCTCACATAGCAAAATGCAGGCTCCAAGGTCCTCATCGTCCACTTCACATCTATCATCAGCCAGGAGATTTCATCATCGGTGGCATTGTTTCCCATGGTGGCTTCTTATCCACTTCAGCAACATTCATGGAGGAACCTCCACCAGTACTGCCTGAAGAACTTGTGTAAGAACACAGCCTCTCATGATCAATCCCAGAGCAGCAGCTTCAGAACAATGGCTGATGCTGCAAATGTCAACTCAGTTATTTTGATTTAAATATAACATACTGATCTGGAAACTCACATGAATCAGCTCTGTAAAAAAAAAAAGTTTAGTTCTTGGTAGGGGTGTATAGCAGTCTACTTGTTGTTGTGTTTAGTCGTTTAGTCATGTCCGACGCTTCGTGACCCCATGGACCACGCTAGGCACTTCTGTCTTCCACTGCCTCCCGCAGTTTAGTCAAACTCATGCTGGTAGCTTCGAGAACACTATCCAACCATCTCGTCCTCTGTCGTCCCCTTCTCCTTGTGCCCTCCATCTTTCCCAACATCAGGGTCTTTTCCAGGGAGTCTTCTCTTCTCATGAGGTGGCCAAATTATTGGAGTCTCAGCTTCAGGATCTGTCCTTCCAGTGAGCACTCAGGGCTGATTTCCTGAAGAATGGATAGGTTTGATCTTCTTGCAGTCCATGGGACTCTCAAGAGTCTCCTCCAGCACCATAATTCAAAAGCATCAATTCTTCGGCGATCAGCCTTCTTTATGGTCCAGCTTTCACTTCCATACATCACTACTGGGAAAACCATAGCTTTAACTATACGGACCTTTGTTGGCAAGGTGATGTCTCTGCTTTTTAAGACGCTGTCTAGGTTTGCCATCGCCTTCCTCCCAAGGAGCAGGCGTCTTTTAATTTCATGGCTGCTGTCACCATCTGCAGTTATCATGGAGCCCAAGAAAGTAAAATCTCTCACTGCCTCCATTTCTTCCCCTTCTATTTGCCGGGAGGTGATGGGACCAGTGGCCATGATCTTGGTTTTTTTGATGTTGAGCTTCAGACCATATTTTGCGCTCTCCTCTTTCACCCTCAATAAAAGGTTCTTTAATTCCTCCTCACTTTCTGCCATCAAGGTTGTGTCATCTGCATATCTGAGGTTGTTGATATTTCTTCCGGCAATCTTAATTCCGGCTAGGGAATTTCTTTAAGAACTTGCCATAGTTTGTTGTGGTCGACACAGTCAAAAGCTTTTGCGTAGTCAATGAAGCAGAAGTAGATGTCTTTCTGGAACTCTCTAGCTTTCTCCATAATCCAGCACATGTTTGCAATTTGGTCTCTGGTTCCTCTGCCCCTTCAAAATCCAGCTTGCACTTCTGGGAGTTCTCGGTCCACATACTACTTGAGCCTTCCTTGTAGAATTTTTAGCATACTAGCAGTCTAGAAGCGCAGTAGTAGACTTAACTGAATTCAATATGATTAACTTCTGAGTACATATTTAATGTTCCAAGTGTTGAAGATGCTTCTGAAACAATCTGCAACTCTCATTCTAGGGTGGTGCCCAAGGCTTACCAGCACATCCTGGCATTGGCATTTGCAGTCAAGGAGATTAATGGATGCTCCCACATTTTACCCAATATCACCTTGGGCTTCCACATCTATGACAGCTATAGTAATGCAAGAAAGACGTATCTTGCCACACTGATACTTTTATCCAAGCTGGAGAAATGTGTCCCCAACTATATATGTGATATTGAAAATAATCTGACAGGGGTTATTGGGGGACTCGACTCTGAAATCTCCTTTTATGTGGCAACCATTTTGGATATCTATAAGATTCCACAGGTATGGCACTTATGGGCAATACCTCTTTGCAATCTAAGTATCCACCCCTTCATTTCTACTATGCACTTTAATGACAACATTGCTTTGCAGTAAATTTGCATGGGAGGGGAGAATAATTCATTCTCTATTTCAACCCCCTCCCCTTTCCAGGAGACTGATATCCCAAAGTCTACTGGTGGGATAATGGAGCAGCTATGTTTGGGTATGCAGCATTTTCTACTTAGTGAAGAAGGAATGGGCATTCAGTGGGAGGGGGGAAGCTTTCAGGTAACTGGCACTAAAATCCTTCTCCCTCCTCACCACACCACCCCCCAAAAGTAATGGGTTTGGGGAAGATTAAACACATAATGAAGTTATGTTAAGTAGCAGAAACAATCAAGCTTTGCTGGAAAGGAGTAATAGTAATTGAAATGTGGTTTCATAAGAGAAGTGCGAGGAATCATGCAAAAAGGAGGCAGAAATCTCAGTTTTGCTCTTGGCTGGGGTCTGTGCATCATGAATAAGGGAAAAAAAGCTCTAGAAAAATAAATTCGGAACTTACAGTTCTGACATAGCTAAATAATATCTAATGCACAGGTAGCTAATCCTCTTATTGGGGCCTGATGTGCCCCTCCCATCAATTTTATTCAACCCACAAGACCTACCAAAGTCAGCAATGACACATACACAAAAATCTTTAAAAAATAAATAAATAAATAATAGACACAGTGCCTGTCCCCACTCATCAGATCAAATGTTTAACAAGCAGGAATGGGAAATTATCCCAGTTTTCAGCTCATGTGAATGTGTCTATTTTGTATAAATGAACGACAGGATGCAGCCAACAGAATTCATCATATAATGTACATAAATAGTTTGAAATAACTCTGGAAATTATATTTGTCTCGTCCCTTCCTCCATTCCCTCTTTAGCTCATTTATGGCTCTGCTCCAGTGATGAATGATAAAACCCCAGGGCTTTCCTTCTACCAGTTGGCAGCCCAGGAAGACCTTCAATATGAGGGAATTATCTCTTTGCTTCTGCATTTCAAGTGGACATGGATTGGGGTCACTGCAATGGACAATGGCAATGGGGAAAGATTTGTGCATACAGTACTTCGATTGTTTTCTCAAAATGGCATCTGTTTTGCCTTCGTAGAAAGAATTCCCGATTTTAGTTTTATCCATGAAATTAATGACATGTTACAACAGGGGGCAAAAATACATGATAAAATAATGAGCAGCAAGGCTAATGTAGTGGTGGCCAATGGAGACTTTTATTCTATGGCATTTTTAAAATGGCTTCCATACCTATCAGAACACGATATGACAAATAATGTAAAAAGTAAAGTTTGGATAACAACAGCTGAGATTGAATTCACTTCATTTGTCTATCAAAGAAACTGGGATTCGGGACTATTCAATGGTGCTATAGCCTTTGATATTCACTTCAGTGACCCACCAGGATTTCATCAGTATGTTGAGCACAGAAACCCTTCCAACACAGATGGGGATGGCTTTATCAGGGACTTCTGGCAACAGGCTTTTGATTGTGTATTCCCAGATATCACTGCAGACCAGGTGGATGGGAACATTTGCACAGGAGAAGAGAAGCTAGAGAACCTTCCAGGATCATTTTTTGAAATGAGTATGACAGGGCACAGTTACAGTATCCACAGTGCTGCCTATGCCATCGCCC